AATAACCAATTCTTATGACCAATTAGGTTCTGTTGAGTCCTGTCCTATGATTATGTGAAATACCTGAAAATTGTCCTTCATTGTACCTAAAGTATATTGGATTTTTTCTAATTACCGGTAAGTTCCAAGTACAATTGATTTTGAATGAAAGGCAAATGAGCAAAGTATTCTTTTTCTTCAATACCTGTCGAATGTATTTTTTGAGGGATAAGTGCTTTCACTCTAAACCAGGTCATCTACAATTGTCCACTGATATCTGTTAAAAGGAACTACTATTTTTTGAAAATCTGTAAGCGTTTCAGTTCGGCATTGGCCTCCCATTTTATTACACCTTGTGTTCAGGGATTTAAACTTGTGCAATCTGGAATGCAAACATGGTCAAATCTAAAGCTCTTACTACTAGGTCATCACACCCATGCGTGTAAATTTATATTTCCCATGTTATCCTATCATCTTCAAAAGTTGCTTTCTAGTTTGAGTGTTCAATAGTAAAAATAGATTGAAACTTAGAACTGAAAGTAACAGATTTTAAACAATAAATAATGAATGATAACAAATCTAAAATTCTATTTATTTGCAACATTGAAAGTTTTATTTGTTCTATGTCCGCATTTATTTTCACCTGATCAGATATAAAACTGTTCATTTCAATAGGCTTGAGCCACAGAATATTACATTTATTTCAACCACCCCTACGAAGCGTTGAAAGCAAAATATAAAAATCTCATGCTCCCCTCTAACCAATCTGCTGTTGCCACATCTCCCGATTAATGTCGTGTTGGTATTCCATTTTCTCGCCATTTTCAGCTAAACAATTGACCAGATTCATAACTATTGAGTCGTCAGTACCTGTAATAGTCGTTCTATGTGATTTGTGACTTTTTAAATCTCATTCTATAATTACTGCAGTTTTATAGTGTATTTCTCTGCTAATTGGTACCATTGCATGGACATATTCCATGGGATAGATAGGAGTGTTCTGAGGATATCACCCATATATAATATTGGGTGCAGTATGACATTCAAAACAATAATTTCCAGGCCATAGATGTACAATAAACCTTGATCTCAAATCAGTTAGTTAGTCCTTTTATGCTAAGTTGTTAATAAATGTTATATTTTGTGCATTACCACTACCTTTGACATGAATGGTTACACCTCTACACTATTCCCAATTGTTGTTAAACATTTCATTGACTGCTTGTTGCGGAACCCCTGAATAACTGTTTCCTATTATAGTCTTTATAGTTACCCCCATTTCGTTGAATATTCAATTCACTGATTAGAATCATTAATATTAATAATTTCACACAGAGTTATGGTGCTCATCTTTTACTCAAGCACAATGACAGTACGAGGTTCATGTTTCATAATCTCTTCTTATCAAATGGGTAAATTAATTAGTTAACATTTTATACACGCCTGCACTTCGCAAATCCTATCTTATGCATTCTTGAAAACTCAAACCCGTACCTAATCTAATCGGCTGCCAGTGCCCCGGGTTGTTGTTGTCATGGTTACCACGCTTAATGGTGCTTGTAGTCTCTATTTTTTCATTGACTAGCGCCTCTGGATTTACTAGACCGTACTTAAACGTTCTCCTCACTGACATGCGATTCCCATTCTATTTTATTCTAAGCTGTATATGTACGTCACACTGATTGAAGCACTATTAACGCTATAAATCTTTTGACATTTACAATGGAAGGAGTAGTTCTGATTAGAGATGTACCGATGTATCGGTATCGGGTATCGGTATTGGCAATATCGGCCATTTTTTCGGTATCGGCCATGTATCGGTATCGGTTAGATTAAGGCCGATATTTCCGATATATTTACCTTTTTGATATGGTCCAGAATGTTTTAAAAGATAAGTTGGAATACTACTTTTTAATTTATTTTTTGTCTGGAGAGATCGTGAGCTATGAGCCATACATGTCCCTACCCCCGCGAGAGAATATGATTCACGTATTTTTAGCTATTTTCGCTGTCAAATTTTTATATTAAATTTTTTTATTATTACATAGTAATTATGAAGAAATATATCAACACGGCACATAACAAAAAGCTATTAGGCGCCCAGTTTTAAATCATACAGTGGAATTGGGGTCCTTATTAACGGCACATGGACTTTTGGCACGGGTATAAATTCTGACTGTTTGTCGTCAAGTACGAGTGTCATTTAGTCCGACGACATCGATAAACTAAATTCCGACACAATTATCCCTCTACGCAGATATTAATTTTTGTTTAACAACACAATTTCTTTATAGATATATTGACATGACCGCCTAGCCCTAGAGGGCCTAGAGTCCTAGACTGTCTCAAATATATGATAGCAATTGTATAATAATATAAAATAGTAAAGTAAAAAAACATCCTCGACGGTTATAGGTAGGCCTTCTTTTGGTCGGTGCTGATTGATATTCTTTCATGTTGGCTTTGACTTATTGCGTCGACGATTACGATTAGCCACGAAATAAAATATTTGAAAAATGCTTTTAATTTGAACGTAGGACGGCGGCTCTAGAATGTGTGGGTGATATTCGATATTCTCTTAAACACGAATAACGATATTCGAAGGTCGCGATATTAACATTAAATTCAAATTGGACATCCCGGCTTATGAGTTTTCTAATTGAACACCGAGATTACTAGCGTTACTGTACAGTGTATTTTAATCAGTTGAAGCAAACACCAAACATTAATTTCATATTATGTGATATATCATTTTTCGATCTGAAATAATGTGTACTATGAACAACGCTCAAAGACCATTGTTTTAACCCGTCTGCCCTACACAGCACACCTAATTAAGTAATATTTACATAGTATCGGTATCGGAATATCGGTAATATCGGCCTTTTTGTAGTATCGGCGTATCGGTATCGGTATCGGCTTTTTTAGCTAGTATCGGATCGGTATCGGTATCGGCGACAAAAGTGGTATCGGTACATCTCTAGTTCTGATATCAAAAATGTTCGAATGTCCCGTTGTATTTTAGTAAATTCCAATGAGACAGGCCAATTAGGCCTTTGGGACATAAATTAAGCTTGCCTTTTCATAACAAACCTTGTGACGAACTTTAACTTTTAGTCTTTTGTACAGAATCAATAAATTACCTTCCAAAACAACCTTGTGACTTCTGAAACTCGGTTAGTTTTTGAATGTCACGAGAGCTTGTCTGATTATGAAATTACAATTTTGACTCTGTTGCACTGAGTTAACAATCATTTTACAATTTTGTTTGATGATTACAAATGTTAGCGATTTGTGAAATACAATTGATTTCACCACAAAAAAATGCTACACAATGAAAACATTGAATTTTGATGACTATTGTTTCTCCCTTGATGAAAACTCCCAACTTCTAGCACCAGGCTGTATTTAATGTTACAATGCATTTCTGTGTAATATGAATAATATGGGTTTGGCAAAACTATGATGAATATGACTGTTATATATTTTATCCATATCTGATTGTTCTTTGTATTTGTTTATTTCAACAGATTGATTGTTTATTTCTGAATGTACTCGAAAATCGAACTGCAAACCATGAAGATATTGTTGCAGTTGCAAATCTGCTTCCTAATGTTACAAAAACGTTGGATTTGGTAGGATGGGAAATGGCTGATGAAGATAAAGAAATGTTACAGAATCATTTGGATGAAATTGGATCTGAGGTTTGAAATTCTCATGATATAAAATATGGGTCAAACATAAAATCAACGATTTGCGAAAAAACTGAAATAAACTGCTAGTCTAAATTGTTCACGCTGAACTGAACACTTTAATTTGAAGTTTCACCGAGGTGTATGTTATTTCCATTGGTGTCATTTCAATTCTTTAAAGGAGTGATTAAAATATAATGTCATCGCAGTCAATATGATTGTGTTGCACATATTCTATACCGTATTTGCTCGTTTTATAGCCCGGGCCCATATATTTTTAACCAAACTCACTAACCGGGCCCTTATTCAAACCGGCCCTTATTCAAGCACAGACGTTTGTTATTTTTAAAGTAAACTTATACACAAAAATATATAAAAAAACATATATATATAGATTAGATCGATCGTTTCAATAATTAATATATTGTCATTTCCAGTTCTCAAGTATGATTTAAACAAGAATAACGAAAATTTTGACTTTTTCTAGGCACCGCAAGTACAAATCCGCAAAAGAAGAAAAGTTTTGCGACGCCCTATCAACATTGAAATGACGCACTTAGTAGTCGTGACGCCAGTTTGAGAACCACGGTGTTACGTAATCAGGACGCCTAAGGCGTGAGTGTTATCTACCAGCGCTTAAAATTCAACAGCGTCGCGACGCCAGTTTGAGAACCACGGTGTTACGTAATTAGGACGCCTGAGGCGTGAGTGTTATCTACCAGCGCCTAAAATTCAATAGCGCTGTGACAAAAGCGCTTCTTATTTACCATTGTTCTCTACCACTGAGAAATCAGCTTTTACATCGGGCGGGTATTCGCGCACCGGCCCTCATTTATTTTTATGTTCTGTTCACACGGGCAGCTATTCAAACGGGCCCTTAATCAAGATCGGGCGGTAAAACGAGCATATACAGTATTTGCTGTTTTTTAATTATGTTTATTTGTGCTTTAATAAAAAGAACAATTTCATAGTACATTTTTTTAGTTACCAAAATTTATCGTTCATCTTGCTCTACTGCATAGATGCTTAATTTTTTTTTATCAAATGTAACCAATAACAAAAATTTTACAATATCAAAGTTTTGTATCAAGATTTATTTGTGTTTCTTTTTCGCCAAACAAAAGTCTGAATTTGAAATGAATTTACTAAATTTTCACAATAATTTTTATTTTAATGAATTACCAATTTTAGACTGTCAGATTAGTGGGTTATCAAAGATAAGATAAAGTATGCAAATTTTGAAAGTTTTTCAATAAATGGAAGAATTCTTAATAAAATAAGCAGCACTTTTATATAGTATGGTTTTATGGAAAAATGCATCAAATTTCAGCATTGGAATCATTAAATACCATTGTCTGTTTAAATATTGTTCTGCGTCCATAGTGCTAATCTTGTATAAAAACTTTATTCATTACAGGAACTAGTAATTCATTTTCGTGGAAGTATACTCAAAAGTCAAAGGAAGTCAGCAGATGCTACAACTAATGTTTTTTCTAAACAACTTCCAACCACAACGTCAAAAGCTGAATTTGGTGAGTTATAAATATGTTGTTTAAATTGAGTGGTGCTATGGTATGATGAGTACGTATTGGTCATCAAGTATTTTAGTTATGGACATCAAGTATTTTTCATTTTTTGGGGATTTAATGTTAAATAAATATACTTTCATTGCTGCTGAAACTGGCATATCATTCAACAGCATCTTGCAGCATGTTATATAGCCTATTGTGATTCTTCAAACAGATTTTGTATTTTTATTGTTTATTATAAATATGGAAATACCAAACAAAATTTTCAGTAGGATATGATTGAATTTAAATCTAGGATATTCCAAATTAATTTTATGTAAAAATATAAATTGTTTCCAAGTTGTTACATTTGGTTGCAGAGCATTATTATGGATGGATGCTTGGCATACCGATCTGATTATCTTGCTCGGTTCACAGTTTCGGATCCTGGAGATAATTAAGTGCGAGAGGTTTGCTGAATTTCATGTCGTCAAATAGTGGTTCATGTACCCACTGGTTTATTGAGCTTCCTTCACCATCAAGTCCTTGCATCTGAAACAAATAACTAATTAATCCCATACCCAATCATGCATTGGTACCCGGATGAGAGGCCATGGTTCATTGTATAAGCCGCATTTATGATTTACCTTTCTTTTCCAGGGAAAATAGGAAATTCTATCATAATTTCTGATAAACGATGTTACATAGCTCAAATCAGAGTCTTAAATGCGATCATTTTTTGATAATTATTTATTATTCTCTCTCAGGATCACCATATGACAGTTTTGAGAATACTGGAGAAGATGTGGAGACTTTACAAGAAGTAGGAAGCCCCAGGTTAGATATAACGGTAGTTTAACTTAGTATGATATATAATGCTCACCTATATTTCAATTGTCAAGGATAGTGATGTCATAGTGCAGCGGTTCCCAAACTTTGTGTTCGTACGGCGCTAAATTATCAGGGAAACAATCGCTTTACACGTACATGAAACTTGTTGCCTTTGGATAAAACTGAATTTTGTGATCGTGCATTTTATGCTTTTTAAAGTTTGTCAATATGTGCGCCTCAAGAAAAGGGAATGCCATTAAAAAACATTCACACTTATTTATCTAATCTTTAACACTGCACAATCTTTAACACTGTGAGTGAGGGGAGAAGGGTTTTAAAATTGAGTAATAGGGGCTGTTATTTGACCCAATGGATCAAAATTAATTCATTTGCATTCTCCAATTTTATCTTCAGAAGTGAACTCCCACTGTCTGAAGAAGAAGCAGCACAATCAGATAAAGAAGTAACGGAAGAACTTGCAAAGCCAACTCAGCATAGTAAGTCAGACATATTAATAGAATCAGATGGCGTTGGGCTGAGTTAAATGCTTGTAATTATGAGGAAGTGCTGATCCGTTGAGATGTTGGAATAATACAGGGGGTGTGCAACATTTTTTGCCGATGGGCCATATAACCAACTTCAGACATCTAGCTAGGCCAGACAGAAAAATTTAGTTTTTCCATAAACATGGAGAATTAATAAATTCCCACAATAAAGAATCCCATTTTATGTAACAGTTAGTGGGACATTGGAAACTTCAAGTTCTTGCATAGTTTGTTAAAATCAGCTTTGTCAGAACTGTCAACATAAACAGTCGGATTGGAATTTTATTCTTGGTGGGGAAAATTTGAATGCTGACAAGGGCCACACTGCCACACTGAATAGTGGCCCCAGAGCCACCTGTTGCACACCTCTGGAATAATTGAATCTGTCCTCAACCAAATTTTCACACAAATAGTAAGGTTTGGCAAATCAACTGCTAAACTGGACAAATAAAACCCACTCCAGGTTGGAGAAGATATCAACTCCAGCTCCAAACTACAAGGAAATCAAATTTTGATTATAATTAATTGTCGTGGGCATGCCTTTTCAATAGCATCCATTAGGAACGCTTGGTTCACTTCATGTTTTTGAGTTTTAGTAAAAAATTCAGGAAAGTCTAAAATTACCGTATTACCCAGATAATTTAACATTTCAATTTCTACTTCTGACTTTGAGTTTGAAAATACCACTTCAGCTCCAATTCCAATAAAAACATTTCATCCTGCTTTTAGCATATATTGCTAACTGAGTCTTGGATTTCCTATTAGTTGCACATGAATCTTTGTATTTGGCTTTTGCTTGAAAAAGTCACTCACAGTTGTTTTATTGTAAGCCTGCTTTATTGATTCTGAAATATCTGAATTGCTACTCACTACTATTTTATATTCGATTTTGTTTTTGAATTTTGTATGAATTGCCCAGAAATAATTTTAAGTTCACAGCTTATATTGAGTATGCTAAGTCGAAATATTTATTTATAGCTTTGCCACAAATTGAAAATGTTTCGTCTCAAAGAAGTGGATCCGACATTCTTTTGACTTGGAATGAAGTATCTGACAGAAACGTTCTATACAACATAGAAATCTTCTGCGATGATGTGAAACTTGGAGAGACTCACACTACAGAGGTTCCGCAGTATAGAATGAAGTCACCTACACTTGGTAAAAAATATCGTTTCCAAGTCTGGGCCAGAGATGAATTGGGAAACTCTGGCATAAAAACACAGTCAAAGAATGTTATCAAATGTAAGTTATGGCCATTAATTATTAGGTGAAGTAGCAACCTCATAATTCAACTTCTTTGTTGTTCTAATAAATAGTGAGTGTATCAGTATGATGCCCCCCCCCATCATCAATATTATAACAAATAGCAAGCATTTTCATTCTGACAACTTAGGGTTGCAATTTGCGTCTGACAATGTTGTTTCTATAACACATTAATCGGTCATCTGTGAGCCTTGGTAGCAATGTTGGGGGGACTCGAGTAACTCACTCATTCGAACTCGAATAACAGCCATAGCAACTTTAGTTGGGACTCAAAAAAAAATTTTGGGCAAGTATTTGGAATAGCAAAAAATCAATTAAATATGAATTGCCATACATATCAATGCTGTATATTTGTAATGAGCAGAAGGCTAATTGGCATAAAATCAGTGGTTCCAAATGACATTTTTTCGAAATCAAAATGGTTTACATCCGTTGACCAAGGCACAGTGTTTTTATTCTACCATTTGTGGTAGTTCAAGATTTGTTCACTGACGTTTGACTGCACTATGTCAAACTGTTATGTGAAATAACGGCACCCTCGAAGTATGTTAACCAAGATACACCGGAACGTTGTATGTGTACCAGGTTAGGGTTAGGCCATATTTTTATTATACAATTTTCCTTTTTTTATTTCTATTATGAGTTCGGGAACTAGCCAAGTGACTCCCACGGTATTTGTACCTGGAATTATGGCCTTATCCTAACCTGGTACACATATTGAGTTCAAGGTCTAGCCAAGTGACTCCCACAGTATTTGTACCTGAAATTATGGCCTAATCCTAACCTAGTACACATATTGAGTTAGGGGACTAGCCAAGTGACTCCCACAGTATTTGTACCTGAAATTATGGCCTAATCTCAACCTGGTACACATATTGAGTTCGGGGTCTAGCCAAGTGACTCCCACAGTATTTGTACCTGGAATTATGGCCTTATCCTAACATGGTACACATATTGAGTTCGGGGACTAACCAAGTGACTCCTGTAGTATTTGTACCTGGAGGTATGGCCTAATCCTAACATGGTACACATATTGAGTTCTGGGACTAGCCAAGTGACTCCCGTAGTATTTGTACCTGGAATTATAGCCGAATCCTGACCTGGTACACATATTGAGTTCGGGGACCAACCAAGTGACTCCTGCAGTATTTGTACCTGAAATTATGGCCTAATCCTAACCTGGTACACATACTACGTTACGGTGTCCGCCATCTTGGTCATGCTTCAAGAGTACTAAGCCTTTTCTATATTTTGCCTTCTTTGCGCCAAATGTTCAAATGACAGTGAAATTAGAGCTGAGCCTGCTGTGATTTATGTCCAAGTATCCATTTCCTGCTCAGCTACTTCTTACATTTTATTTCAGTAATTAGCAAACATTCCATTTTGTAGGCAATGACATCCTTTTCCTAATGGGCTTCCTGCATCTGAAACAAATTACTGGCTAACTATTCTCTGACATGGACTGGTGATCGAACAAGGGCCGTGTTTGCCATGCGATTGAAACGTCTTGTCCCTTTCCCCGGGATAAATATGGATCTCCTAATGGCATTGGAAGGGTTCTTTAGATAACTTTGGAACCACCTCATTTTTTATTGCATTTTAAAACAAATCTATTTTTTTAGCGGAAAATGTTGGAGTTGCTGGTGGCTCCATGAGACTAAATGAATGCAACGTCACGTTTCCTAGTGGAACTTTCAACAAACAAACAAAGGTCTGGATGTCAGTTGGAATAGACAATTCAATATGCCCCAAAGAATACATTGGTATCACACCAGTTTTCGATATCAGCGCGGATTGTGAATTCCTCAAAGATGCGATTGTGCAAATCAAGTCATGGTGCGTCGGTCTAGAGAAAGACAAAATTGACATATTACATTTCTCAAGTAAAACTGACTGGGACATTATTAATCCTCATCGAATCACAAAGGATAACAGCATAGAATTTCGATGCAGAAAGTTTAGTCTATTCACCGTCGCCATCAAGTGGTTAAAATGGCTAATTGGCAAACAACAGGTCATTGTGGATAACTGTCTCTATATTTCAAACAAAAATGACTTTCATTTCACATTTTATGGACAATGTGAGACTGCTGAAACAAGAATCAGATCCCATTACAGAGAACTAGGGGCACGTCTTGCTCCAATTTGGTTCAATCCAATCCCTTTGAAAACTGGTGACATACTTGGCCTCGAGTTACAGATTGATCGGGGACGAGAAGACTTACAATTCAATATGCCCCACGGACAATTTGATTGTAACGACGCATTCCTAACATCCCAGAGACATACATTAAAATACCGTCTTCTTCCTAATTTGCAAGAATATCCTGAAAGACTCATCATTTGTAGAGTTTTGAAGAATGACGTTTTGCATGAAATGCAAGACTTTGATTTCCCATTACCCCCTGCAGGTAAGTGATACTGGAAAGAGGGCTGTATAACATGTTGTGTTCCGATATTCTTGTTTTGATAATGTCCTAGTTATGACTCTGCTCCCTAATCTATTGGTCTTACAAAAATTTGTTGTCATTCAACCACTCAACGTGATGTAGGTATTTATTGTTAAAATGAGGCTTTCTGGCGTAAAAAAAAACTTTCTAGTTTGGCTTATTTTGTTTAGTTTCTGTTTTTGGAAACTTGTATTGCCCTATAAACATTACTTTTGAAACGTCAAAGTTGAAATATAAATGATTATGATTCTAAAGTCAATCTCATAATGTTTAGATATGCCAGGACAACAAACTACCAATTTCTACGGAGATTTTCATGTTGAGGGAAACATGAATATGGATGAACAAGTAAACAATCTTCAACAACCTTTACAAGATGTGAGTAAATGCAATAAATATTGGTGCTCGCGTAGTATTTGTACCAGGGCGAGATACTTTGCCTTATTTAATCCCACATTGGTACGAATACTTCTGGAGCACCTAAATATGCAGATAAACGATATGTGAAATGGAATTCTTATAAAAAACTATTTATCATTTGTGTTATAATAATATTTTGAATCGGTCGAAAAGGCCAAATTGTCCATTATTATACACTTTCTCCTGTTATATGCACAAAATGATATTATCACCATGAAAATAATCCAACATAAATAAATTTATCAAATATAATAAAATATTTATAATAAAAATATAAGATAATATACAACTCAACCTCACATTATAAATATCCCTCCACAAGACATGCATTTGATTTGACTAACAATATATTATGCTGAAATTGACAATTGTCTGTTTTATTAAGGCACAGAGAGAAGCAGAGCAGCAAAGAGATGCAGATGAAAACGGGGACCATGAACCAGAATTGATTTTCCAAATTGCTATTTTCTTGTTTGTAGCTGTTTTTCTCAGCGCTTATTTTGCGAGGCGGCACACCTGATTAAACCCTATAATTTGTTTCTGGCTGGAATTTCATAAACTTTATCGGAATCTCTCATATTGACGTTTCGGCGCTCCAGAAGTATTCATAACAGGGCATTTTCCATTAGAATACTTTGCTTAATCCGCACATTGGTAAGAATACGGCACTCCAGAAGTATTCGTACTAAAGTGGGGATTAACTAAGGCAAAGTATCTTAAGGGAAAATGCGCTGGTACGAATACTTTGGAAGCAAAGTATCTTAAAAAAAATGCTCTGATATGAATACTACGGGAGCAAAGTGCTAAAAAAATGCCCTGGTAGGAATACTTTGGGAACACCGACTTTTTAACTACTGATACTACGTAACTTAAATATCCCTATAAAGTTTAGAATTTGTGTGCCAACACGCAACAAGTTATAATACTAAGTAGGTTGGGAATTAATGCCTGGTATTATAAATGTTGGATTTACGTGATAAATTTTAACTCTGGCTACACCTAGTAGTTTGACATAATGTTCCAGAGAGAGCAAACTGGTAGCTGAGGTCTTTGCTGTAACCAATGTTGCCCCTAATCTATGTATATATTCTAGTTTTTTTTTATAATAGTGATACATGTTACAATGACATGCAATGCTTATTGTAAGTTTCCATTTTTTGTTTTGTATATGTCAGCATTTTAAACTTTCATATACTGCAATCAGCTTGTCTTGTTTATCATGATTAACAAAACTGTACCTAATCTTGCTGTATTGGATTGAAATAACAATTGGATAAATAATTCAACTTATCCAATCCTCAATCCTTCCTAATGTATATAGGTTTTCTATATAACCTTGTGTGTTTTCCTATGTTTTAAAACGTAAAAAAAATTAAAAAGAGTCATAAAATAGAAATAAAAAAATTTTCATGTTTAAAAAAAATAAAAAATAGCAAAAAATAAATAAAAAAACAGTAATAAAAATTAAAAAAAATTCACGTATTCCCTAAATTTTATATTATAGAAAAAAAATTAAAAACAACTAAAAAAAATCAGAAATTAAGCTCAGAAATTAGGGAGGCTGATATATGAGTGGAAATATGAGGTCCACAGAAGCCCCAAAACCTACTGAGACCATAAGACATTATAGTGTAAAATTACATGCCAGTGAATACTGATTGGTGTGAGACTTAAAGTACTCACAGGCAGAGCTCATGGAGTAGCCTATTAGCTTTCATTTTGATTCTTTTGCTGAACAAAAATAATTCTTGTTTTTATTTTATTGAATTACTTCATTATTAAACTATATTGAATCAAAGGGTTTCCGATATTAACCAATGTCATATTATGTTTATATTTCCTTCAGATCTCAAACTGGGGTCTGCGAGGGATAATTGGGTAGGGTGGGTGTGTCTGAACCGCTGTTAGTTTTGGCGTTATAGACTAACGTTGTTCTTGGCGCTGTTGTGTCATTTAGTTCTTTGAATTTCACTTACTTATTGGACACGAAAGGGCCTTATGGATATCTTAGTATTTTACTTATTCTTGTAGGGAAAAAATAGCCTTCAACTACAGGATCAATTGCTAAAAAAATTTCTACGGCTAAAGATTGTTCAAAAATTTATGTGGTCTCTATGAAATTCGTATTTATCTTTTCTGTGTGATGACGTCATTAAAATAAAATATTTGCATCATGTCTTTGTTCCATGACCGCATTTCAGCGATCACACTAAGGTTAATAGCCATCATTTAGTTTCAATAAATCAGTAACACAATTTGTGTTGCAATTTGAGGAGTGGCAGCTGATGCGAATGTCTTCTAAACAGCTATATGCTATGTTCTGTATTGTGTTTTAGGTTTGAAATTATTGGGGTTCGCAATTGCCCCAGAGAGGTATAAGGGGTCCGTAGGCATAGTAACTTTGAGAACAACTTTCTTAGATGGATAATTTTATGAAGCTAAATTAGCAGTTTATGTGCAATGTCTCAAACCTGATGCTACAGCTCATTATTGAAAGCAATCTAGTCGAGATACAGACTAGTCGAGTCGTTATTGTTTCTAATTTTTGTCTTTTGATTGGGATTTTTGAATATGACATTGTGGATAAAACACCCATTATAAGTGGTTATTTTCATACAAATCTGCTTTTCAAATCAGTCTCATTGTTTGTACTGTATAGAGCAGGGTGGTCCAAGGTTGCCGGCTCCAGAAGCCACAAAATTATTTTTGCATTGTTCGCGGGCCACAATAATGCCAAGAATATAGGTAAACGGTGCAATACAAATCAAACATTTTATTGTGCAAACACATTGATCACTATTTGGCATTTATCAAGCTAAAACATGTAAAAACTTACTAAAACCTGCAAAGGCCTTCTTCAGCTTTCTTTTCAAACTCATGTCTACGAAATAACTTATAAATAACTGCAGATGCATTAATTACCGAATGTAAGCTAACAGGAGGGTAAATACTGAATTTTCTGACGAATAGGCAGCATTTTTTCTAATACTGTTTAGGGTGGTTGCAAAAAACACACGGCATGAATTATATTGTTGGGCCATAACGTTGATATTTAGTTATTAGGCATAGCCAACCTAGGCTAATAAAATTCGCAATCGATTTTTAGTTTATTATAATGCCAAAATTGTTAGCATATATTTCTGACCAAGAAGATTAAAAAAAAATTTAGACTGGCAAGCACATCATTCAACTTCGCTAGTTGCCTCAGCCGATTATAACACCAATCAATTCAGCGACATTAGTGATGTAACAATATGTCCAAAAAGTTTTCTGGTTAATTTTATATGAAAACAACACCAAATGCGATTCTTTGACTAATGTGGCCCGCGGGCCTTGGTTTGGACCACCCGGGTATAGAGTGAGTAGTACCGGTAACTGATGATGATAATTCATGTTTGAAATTCTCAGTGATTTCTGTATTTAAATGCCTAACTTTTGCTTGATATGTTATTTTAATTATTGTAAAAGTGAAATATTTCAATAAAGAGCTCATAACTTTATGATACAGAATGAAATGACCAACTTAACACTTTGGCCTGCATAATCTAACAGGCTTCAGTCAAAAACGTTTTTTAATTGAATTTCCTTTTAATTGTGCGTTATTCCGAAGCTTGGGAACTCATGGAAAGATCGGTCAGGTTGTTTCTCAGACGTTACAGAGCACCCGCATACGACACAGTACCATATTCAATTATTCCATTGTCTTATAGCTGTAATAGGCCTATGCTGATTATTGAGTCGAAATAAACTTATACTAGTCTCGTAGTGGCCAGTCTTTGAAAGAAAGTAAACAGAAGAACCTGATACCCCAATCTACGTTTATGCATGGACTGTTATGAAACATTCAATCTATTTACAGAGTTTGTTTTTTTCAGTAACAATTTTTTGTCACTGTTTTTTGCAATGAAATTGAACCACAGCATCACCATATTACGTCAACGAGTGTTTTTTATTCCATATTTTTGCAGGAAAAGCACCGTTATGATACAAATACGCGTCTCACATTTTAAAATTCATTTGAAAGGCTTGGCGGTGTGGCGCATCGTGCTAAGCGTTAGGAATACGCTCGCCACCTCATCTCCGATTACTCTTCGTAGGTTCGCATCGCATGCAGGGATAATCATGTGCGAGAGGATTGCTGGACTCCGACACCGCTGGTCGGTTACGGCTTCCTCCACCATCAAGCCCATGCTTCCGAAAACAAATAACTAACTAATCTCATACCAACCTGGACTGGTAACTGGACGAGAGACCGTGGTTCGCCATATGATTAAGTCGTCTTATCGGTTTCCTCTCCCCAGGATACATATGTAAATTCTATCCTAAGGTACTGTAATTGCCCGATTTTACATCGTTTCTTTGTTTTATTGTGTTCTTTTGACTGTTTTTGGTGGAAGGGCACGTACTTGTACGTTTATAACTTTTTTATTAAGTTATGCCCGTCCTCCAGGTCGTCTGTGTTTTGTTTGTCCGTTTGTTGTTGTTTTGTTCCTATCAGAGTGATTAAAATAAAATTGATTGGTTGATTGAGAGCTATGCACCTTTCCCCGACCTTTGACCCCGGAATATTCTTCCTATACTTTACCATTGCAATATTCTCGTGGCTATTTTAGGAGTGCTTTTTTGTGTTGGCGCCCGTAAAATGGGGTATATGTTTCAAACCATCATTATGATTCATCGCATACAACGATCTGTTTTTAAAAATACCGATAAAGAATTTCAGGCTAGTCTATCACAGCTATTTCTACACTTATTTTTTTTACTGCAATTAAATTAAAACTCCTAGAAAGACAGAGTGACCATTGAAATATCTGATTTATATTTAAGTTTCCGAAACACAACTGAAAACTAACGAATAGAGTTTAAAAACGCAAAAACGAGGTAAGGTTTACAACCACTCTTGAAAATCTGTCTGAGTGAGAAAAGTGTCTGAGCGGATGCGAAATGGGGGCATTGTTACGTCAGTTTGTTCATCTTGATGATTGGCCAATGTCACGAAGTAAACAAGGTAGTCGATGCTCGGGGAAAGGTCCATGTTCAGTGGGACTTGTCGGTAACGCTCCGCTGCACACAATTTGACCCCGCCTATTGTCAACAGCTCAGCTGTTCTGAGTGCAGCTGCATTCCCAGCTGACTTCGCCGGTCTAAAGCGCGACCTTGCGTTGGCCAGTTTTATTTGCTATACCTGTATACTGTGTTTATTAAAGGCGGTTAAAGTTGGTAGAATAAGAAGCTTCTTTAGTAGTTACTTCTAGGAGGATGGTAGAAAGACAGTTCAAAAGTTTGCACATAACTGCAGTACAGAAATAGTCTACGTGTAATATTTTGAGCCTTAGTGGAACAGTGGAAGGTTTAGGAAATTTTGGAATTTCAAGATTTTACTTCAGTGTGTTGTCATTGGTTTTTATATACTCGTTATTTCACGTTTCTGAGATAATATAAGGATATTTGAAATTCAAACAAACTGCAATTCACGACACCGGCTGTCGGGCTGTGGCTTTCATAGCAAAATGCTGTTTAATAAATTCCATAGTTGTGTGTAGCTCGCCTCTCTTTGCAAGTAAAAGATAAAATTTTCAAATCAAACATCTTCCCCCTATTGCTAGCTGCGCCGCTGCCGGCCTGTATATATATACGGTATATGGTATTTTTTTTCAAATCTAGATACTGTATATTCATACTGAATTATACTACACCCATTTCTAATTTTCCATTTTTCATTGTTTCTCAGTATATCATAATGGATGTTTCATCTATAGCAGACGCAACAAATAACTTGATATAGAGATTGCATAATGAAAGAAGATTGCATAATCATAGAGATTGCTCATTATACTCTGGTAATTTACGGAGTACGGAATGACTGGGGTGAGTTGATCATATATAGACAGTTTTTTACGTTTCAAAAACAACTTGATGTGAAGGAGGCGAACAAAATCAGTTACCTCCATATTGGTACACATACTTCTGAAGCGCCTCAAATTGTAATGTCATTATCACAGTTTAAGAATGTATATAAGAATGTATAAGAATTCAAATATATCGGTATCTTAATTTCTCAT